AAACTTGAAGAACTTAGCTATATAATGTATCTGTAGGTTTTATTTCTCTCTGATTGATGCTCATCTTCCAACTAGATTATACATTCTTTTATGGTTCTTTTTGTCCCTTTTAATGGTCATTGTTTTATTCACTAAATCATGTACTCAAAAAATACTCAAATCACACACAAAATTCTGTTATGATGTGACAAGAACACAGAGAAATAAACTGTACTTACTACCAACTTATTAGATTAGATACAATGGATTACAATTAGAAACATTACATCATATCTAACATCTCACTTTTTTTTTAACTTGGACCCAAACTCAAATGCGTTGTCTGTGATTTCAAATTTACATGCCTATCACAGAAATACCCATATATTCAAACAATGCACCACAACCAACTCCCAAATATTCAATATTTTTGGTTTAAAATTAAGATAATGGTAGCCAAAAAGCAACACCTACTGTGGGGATATTTAAATCATATAACAAGGGGCCGGTGCTGTGGAGTAGCAGGTAAAGCCATTGCCTGCAGTGCCAACATCCCATATGGTCACCAGTTTGAGTACCAGCTGCTCCACTTCTGATCTAGCTCTCTGTCATGCCTGGGACAGCAGCAGAACATGGGCCAAGTCCCTGGGCCCCTGCACCCTCGTGGGAGACCTCAAAGAAGCTCCAGCCTTCTGGTTTCCAATCGGCCCAACTCCAGCCATTGCGGCAATTTGGGGAGTGAACCAGTGGATGGAAGACCTACCTTTCTTTCTCTCTCTCTCTGCCTCTGCCTCTCTGTAACTCTGCCTTTCAAATAAACATATAAATCTTCAAAAATACAATAAAATAAATCATAGTAAAATCATAATAAAGACAATCTATCCTGTTTGACCTAAAGTAATAATTTATACGTATCTACCCTTTCTCCTATGCCCTACCCCTCACCACTAATATTCTGGTGTTATGTGAAATTACAGGTCAATGAGCAATATGTGGTACACAATTCTTTGGTACCCTCAAGAAAGCTCACATGCAAACACATATCCCATTTTAGAGTTCCCTGCCATTCTTATTTTGTGCTGGATCATGTGACTAGCACTGAGCATGATGAAACATGAGCAAGCATGAGGAACAACGAGGCTGGGCACCTTGTAAGTCTCTGGAACCCAGCTGCCACGCTATGAAGAAGCCCAAGCTTCTTGAAGTGGAGCAGCTACCAGGAGGGAGCAGGGAAGGGAAGCTGAATTCTAAACTAAGAAGCCACCTTTGGGGGCTGGCGCTGTGGCACAGCAGGGGAAGCCACTGCCTCCAGCACTGGCATCCCCTTTTTGTCTTGGCTGTTCCACTTCCAATCCAGCTTCCTATCAATGGCCCCGGGAAAGCAGCAGCAGATGACCAAAGTGCTTGGGCTCCCGCCATCCATGTGGGAAACTGGGATGAAGTTCCTGGTTCCTGATCAGCCCAAGCAGTTGGGACCATCTGGGGAGTGAACCAGCAGATAGAAGACCTTTCTCTCTCTGTAACTCTTTCAAATAAATAATAAATCTTTTAAAAATGAAACAAACAAAAAAAGAAAACACCTTGGGATGTTACAGTCAAGCAAAGACACATGGAGCAGTCTCCATTACACCCTGTCCAAATTTTAGAATCAAGACCAAATAAATGACTGCTATTGTTTTGGCAATTGAGTGTTTTACTACATAACAAAAGATACCCAAAACAATATATGTAATCCAATCAGAATAGCTCTTGCTAGGCTACCAATAATTGCTAGGAACCAATAATTTACAGTGGAAATAAATTATCATTATTATTCTAAATATTTTCTCTCAAAGGTATTTGAGTGTTGAGTGTTCTTAAAGGCATCCTGCTCATTTTCCTAATGGCGAAGAGATAGGAGCAAAGCAACCAGAAAGACCCCTTCTTTATTTTTCTTTTCTTCCTAATCTAAGGCTGTTCTTTTTCTTTACATTTCTGCTAATAATGTCTGCCTGCATTCTCCAGTGTGGCTAATCTATGAGCAAGACCAGTCCTAGCCTTTGGCTGTGCTTCAGGCACTGCATTCAATCTCCCTCCAGATCACAGCTAAATAATTAAGAGTCCAGCAGAACAGACTCTTCACTAAGGCCAAAGTGTTTATATTCACTATACTCATAATTCTTTTTGACCTGATGGAATCATAACCAAAGAGAATTGGAACCAATAACCTCTTATTCAGAAAATAAAATCAGCAGTAAGAAAAGGATACCTGCTTTCTAATTGCACCCATTTCTTATCCATTTAAACCTCACAATGCTATGGTTTGACCCTCACTCATGAGATTTACCTTAATCTAACCTGAATCAATTAATTAATGTATTTAACTTCCTAATATATCTAAAACTCCCCTGGAAGAGGGACTGATTGACAAAGAGGGCATCTGACTCATTGTAACCTTTGAAGCAGGGACTATACTGCTCTACTCATACAAATAAACAAAAAATACCCAAGTTCTGGTCAGCAACCACTGTGTCTAAAACTAATCTCTACAATTCTCACCCCCTTCCCGTTTTAATAAGGTTCCCCATTCCTACTTTTACAGAAGACAGGTTATTATTTAGCCAAATTATTAAGGCTTTTTCCATTTATAGAGAATAATTGAATTTTCCCTTTAAGATGGTTTAACCTACTGCTGGAAGCTCTTATCAAGTGAAAATTAGAAATATAATTCATCATGCTTGTGGCACAATGGTGTTATGACATAGTGTTAAGCCACTGCAGAACACTGATTGATGTTCTGGTAGCTCCACTTTTGATCCAGCTCCCTGCTAATGCACCTGGGAAAGCAGCGAAGACAGCCCAGGAGGTGGGCCCCGACATCTATGTGGAAGACCTGGATGCAGTTCCAGGCTCCTAGCTTCAGCCTGGCCCAGCCCCGGTCATTTGGGGAGTGAACCAGCAGATGGAAGATTCTGTCTCTCTTTCTCTCTCTCTGTAACTCTGCCTTGCAATTAAATATTTGTAAATTGCTTTAAAAATTTTATTTATTTGAGAGTCATGATTCCAATTCAACTCTTGTCTAACTTGAGAATTTGCACACTGAACCACTATACTATATTGCCTCCAGTAACTCTAGATTGACATCTAAGATTAAAAAAAAAAAGGAAATTTGCACTTCTAAGTAGTATATTTTAAAAGCATACTTAGACATGGAGGGTACTTTTAGAACATCAACAACTGTCATATACACAGACGTACAAGTTTTATTCTTACTCCTAAATACAAAAAAATGATGAAAATCTCACTGAACAGACTTCTCACAAATCCATATTTTCCTAAGTACACACTCATCTTTATTATTAAAAATTTAACAAGAACACTCTGCTTTCCACTCAATTCTGCTGTAAGCTAAAATTGCTCTAGATAACAATCTATTAAAAAATTTTTTGAACTACAATATCCTAAATAGGCCTAAATCAATTCAGTTATGAACTGGTATAAGACTAGATTCTTTTAATATGAAAAATTACAGTTTATTAAAACCTTAGCAATAAGTACTTAATATTAAGTGTGCACATAATATTTACCTGTCATTTTTTCCAAAAAAGACTCGAAGGTGTGCAAGTAGCACTAAAAAACCAATTTTTAACATTCCCAAGAAATCTGCAAGACACACACATGAAATAACTTGGAATAAAATCAAACAAAAAAATTAATGTGTCAGTAATACAGCATCTTTTCCTAATTTTCCTAATTACTTTTTTCTTAAGATTCATTTTGAAAATCAGAATTGCGGGGGGGGGGGGGACACAGAGCTAGAGAATCTTCCATCCAATGGTTCACTCCCCATATCCCATATGGCCACAAGGGCCAGGCAGAAGCCAGGAGCCAAGAGCCTCCTCCAGGTCTCCGATGTAGGTGCAGGGACCCAAGGACTTGGGCCATTCTCCACTGCTTTCCCAGGTTATTAGCAGGGACCTGGATTGGAAGTGAAGCACCTGGGTTTCCAACCAGGCTCATGTGAAATGCTGTTGCTGCAGGTGGCAGCTTTACCTGTTACACCACAGCTGCAAGCCCTCCTCATCACTTTTTAAAGTCTTTCTAAATCCTCCAAAGTATTAAAAACAAAACAAAACAAAACAAAAAACACCTTTGGCTTGTCCAGAGTGACCATCCATCCACATACCAACCAAATGTTTTTTTCCTGATGCTCACCAAGGCTGCTGAAATCCTAAACATCATTTAAGACTGATGTGACAGATCACGTTTTGCCTACTAGTGTCCCTTCCTGTTCCAACATTTAAGTTATATTTAAAAAGTCATGCCCTGCATATTCTAAATGTCAAAATTAATTTCAAATAGAAGACCGTATTGGCCACCAACAAAAATTCTGAAGCGAAGCGCCGTTAAAATCTGTTTCGCATGAAGACTGTACTTCGAGCGTCTGAACTACAAAAGCATTACAGGTCCATCAACCAAGTCAGTCTACGAAACACGTTACCAGCTCAGAACCTGAGTCCTTCATCACACGCCTAACTCTCACAACTCTTCTTTCTCCCGGACCCACGTTCGCCTAAGGGATCAACACTTCGCTGCATCACTCTGCCTTCGTAGACAGAAGTTGGAGAAGTCGGTGCCACAAAAGCAAAGCATTCTGGTCAATGGATTGTTTTCTCTCCACGCTATCCCTACACACTAACTCATCAGGGCGCACACACACACAAGTCCATGTACACTGCGACTGCCTTGGCTCCGGGCAGGCTTGGCGAATCCTGGGGCACCCATTTGCAGGGCACACAACCATATCCGGTTCTCACTGGACACACACTTTTCCCATGCGTCCCATCTTAAAAACTACATCTTCCCAGAGGAGCCATGAACACACAAAGACGCCCCGGGAGCCCGCCTGTCGGGAAGAGGAGCGCTCCAGTTAAATCCCTACGCGCGACACCCGCAGCTCCACCAACTCTGCACAACAAATCACAGCCGCCAGAGAACAAGGTGCGTCTTCCCCCAAGCCCGCAACCGCACAGCCCACTTACTGGTTAGTCGGCGGCGCCGTCAGCGGGATGGCCACCTCTTCCTCCTCGTACTCTGGTCCATCCAGGGAGTCCCCTTCGTCCACCGTGCCCAGACCCGCACCCAGCGGGGGCAGCAGAGGCGGCGGCGGCGGCGGCAGAGGCGGGAAGCCGCCGCCCGGCCCGAGGGTCTCGGCCGGCAGCAAGGGGGTCCCCTTGGGGAGGGCCATGTCCCCACTAGGTCCAGCAGCGCCTCCCCCTGTCAGTCCCGCGCCCCCCAGGGCCCCCGCCACGGACCCGGCCCCCAGGAACCCCGACCCCACAGCGGCCCCGCCACCCAGCGCCCCGGCCTCCACCAGCCCGGGGCAGGGGGACGGCGGCCGCGGGGAGCTTCACGCGACACACCACCGGGTAGGCGGCACCGGAGCCCGCGGCCGCGCCGCCGCCGCCGCCGCCGCCTCCGGCTCCGGCAGCCACCGGGCCGCCCTCCTCACTGCCGGCCTCGGCGGCCATCATGTTGAAGCCCGCTGCGCTCAGCCTGCGCGGCCCGCCCGGGAGCCCCGGGGGCCAGCAGGCCCGGGCTCCGAGCCGCCCCACCCAGGCGCGTCCCCCCTTCAGCTCCCCAGGCGGAGGAAACAACAACAAAAGGAGAGAGCCCGCCGCCGCCGCCGCCGCCGCCGCCGCGCCCCCTCCCCGGGCCACAGCCCAGACTCGCGGAGCCGCCTGCGTTACGGAGCGCCAAGTGGGCAAAAAAAGCCCAGCGCCGGCACAAACGCCGCCCCGGGCTCGCCTCGCACACCCACACTCACGCGCACACACATGCACGGACGCGGAAAACTTCCTGCGCTCGGGAGGAAGGGAAGCCCGGGGGAAGCGGCCGAGGCGGCCGCCGCTCCCTCAGCCGCCGCCGCTCGCTCACCACCCGAGTTCCGGCCACCCCCACCGCAGCCGCCGCCGCCGGGGCCGCTGCCTGGGACGCAGCCCCGGCAGCCGCTGCATCCTCCACCAGCCCGGCGCGGGGAGGGGTGGGCAGGGGAGGCGGGAGGGGCGGGGTGGCGAGGAAACCGCGGCGCTGCTCGCTACCTGCAGCGCTCGGGTAGTGAAACCCGAGACAGACCGGGAGGGAGAGAGAGAGAGAGAGAGAGAAAGGAGGGCGGGGCCGGGGAGGAGCGGCGGGGAGAGGAAGGGCGGCGGAGGCGGAGGGCGGCTTCTGCGCAGGCGCGGCCGCGCGGGGCGGGCGGGGCGGGAAGCGGCCCGCGAGGGGCGGAGGCGGCGCGGCGGCCTGGCCCGGCCGCGCGCGCGCGCGCGTGTGTGTGCGTGTGTGTGTGTCTGTGTGTGTGTGTGGCAGGCTGACATGAAACCCCGGGAGGCGAGAGGAGCTGGAAGAGCATGGAGCGGAAGGAAGAGCCCACCGGAGCCACTGCCGCGCTCGCTGACGGTGACGAAAAGCGGCGGCGCGGAGGCCCGACGGGGCGGGCGGGCGCGCGGCGAAGGTCAGCGCAGCGCGGGTGTGGGGCGCAGTGACCGCACGGCGACTGCCGCACTGGCAGGTCAGCTCCAAGGCGGCAGTCCCGGAACTCGGGAAAGCGCCGCGGGTGCCGGGAGCCGTGCGGGCAGGCGGTCGTGGTGTGGAGCGCGGTGTCCGCCGCCCCGTGCCGGCGCCCGTCCAGGTGGACGGTGAGGAGGTGTGAGAAGTGCCGGAGCCCGGGGCGGAGCGCCTGCACAAGCCCCTTGTCCAGGGTGTTCAACAGTAATAGCCTGGACCTCACCCTTAAAGCGCACAAGGAGGGGTTTTGTGTTCTCTTTAAAAGTATCCCTGGGGAACTGGTCCCAGGGCCTCCACCACGGGATACCAGGCTCTCAGGATGCTCGAATCCCTTTATTTTTTTCTTTTTAATAAAGTGGTGTAGCGTTTGCACATAAGCACACCCTCCATGTACACCAACTCCTCTCTGGATTCCTTGCAATAACTAACACAGTGTAAATGCATGTAAATAGCCGTTATACTGTATTGTTTTGGAAATAACAAGAATCAAAATGACATTTTTGGTACAGATGCATGCTTGTAAAATGTTTCCCAGAGTTAGTTAATTCCTCAGATGTGAAGGGCCGACTAGATGCATTCACAGACACGCAGGAATTATTCCCATTGTTTGAAACCAATGGGTTGGCAGCTTGCCTTTTTCGATTCAAAAATTGTTCTGAGTTGGGGTGGATCTCAACACTGAATATCGTTGGATATTGTTCTTTCAGGTCACTATTTTCTCGGCTAAGGATGATCTAACTGACAAAGCAGCATACTGGGGAAGGCAAGGAGCTGTAATAGAAATCCAGGGAAAAGGGAAAGATGACTAAAGGAGATGGGGACGTGCAAGCAAGCCATTCTCCTCTGTAAGTTTGCATAGGTGTATTTACCCAGGCAGTGACGACAAGCAACTGGATTAAGAAGCAGACCTCTGCATGGTGCTCACATGTTAGGCAGTGCACCACTCCAGATGGATCAGTCACAAGAGCTGGAGTTCTCAGAGCGGACTCAGACCAGCAGTGTCCTAAGAACTGGTTACAAATGCAGACGCTCCAGACTTTCTGATTCAGAAACTGCAGTAACCTGTTGTAATGAGCACTCCAGGTGATGGTCCACCTAAGTTTGAGAACCAGTGTACTACAGTATGCTAATCAAGAAGGAGGTATGCAATACCTTAAAAAGGTTCTGAAAGAAAGAGCGCATTATTCATTAGGTGGGTGAGTAAGAGATATGGATTGCTAAACAGCCATTCTGGAAAGGAGGTTAGGAAAGAGCAGAATGGAGGCGTTCTTAAGGTAGATCACTTCTAAGACTTGGGCACCTGGGAAGAGTTCATTTCCCTTTTAAACTTACTCCCTCAGAGTTAGACTAGACCATCAAAGCACCTACTCTGCCCACTACCCAACGTAAAAACCCCAACAACAGCGTCCCCAGCAAGTCCTCATATAACCCGTCCTAAAAGCCTACAGGATGTTAGCCACTGGTCCTCCAGAACGTCTCTCAAGCACCACCATAGGTCCTTGCAGGCAGGACATTTGGGCTGGCAGATAGCTGCCAGCTCTTGGCTGTCCCCGAACATCGCCAAGTGCCCACACGCCGTATCACCGTCCGCATTTCCCTGAGAGCCCTGGTCCAGCTCAAACACAGAATTACCTCCTATTTTGGAAATTCTTTAGCACTTACAGGCCAATATTTAATAAAGTCTACACCAATTATACACTGATTACTTCTAGTTACTTTTAGGTGTATGTTTCTACAAAATTGCTGCAAATAAGAAAGTACTTCAAAAATTTCACAGAAAATGGGATTGAACAGTAAGTTTATTTGGTGCAAAAAATTTGCATTCCATATATAGTTTTTTCATGATAAGTGCTTTCCATGAACTTTTTGAAGACCCCTCAGAATGTGGTCTGTCCTACTCCTCCCTGAGTCATTAAGCATCCTCAACGCTGCTTTAAGCAAATCTCTGTCCTCCTCACGGATTGGAACTGTCTCTCAAATAGCATACATTTGTAAATAGTACCAGTACCTTATCTAGTTGATTGTTAACCTTAGACTTGGTACTCTCTTTTTCATCCAAAGATACTATCACATATTTTTGAGACATTTTTGGATATTTTATATATTCCTGTTAACAGTATTAGACATATTTAGACATTGAACTTTTACTTTTGTTTATGTACTTCCTGAATCTCAAATGAGCCTTCTATCTTTGATGACTTTGTGTTTTTCCCCAAAAGGATTAATGTTTCTACTTCCTTTATTTTTGTCTTTTCCCTTTTTTTCCTGCCTATATTGATTTACTGTCCTCTCATTTATTGTCTCCTCTTGTCTTTCTTTGTTATTATTTCTCCCTCAGTTTTCACTTCCATGTCTGCCCTTAATTTTCTTTCAAGCTCCTGTATTTCCTGATGTAAATACACTTCTTGAAGTTTCAGGAATTAAAGACTGAAGAACAAGTTAGTAAAACAAACTATGAAATACCTAGGGTGAGGCATCTGCAGGATTTAGTGTTAGGTATGATCTTATGTAATGTCAGATAACAAAAATAATGTTGATTACATTCATAGATAATGTTGAACTGAAAAGCAAGAAAATACAAAAAAGGAAAATTCAAAATAGCTTTTAACTTTAGTAAAATAATTATATCTGTGATTTTAAAAAAAGAACTGAAGATATTGAAATGTATTGAATGATGACTGAAGAATGCTGGACAAAAAAATTGTGAATGAAAAACTAGAAATTTAAGAAAATGAATTTTATCATTCTGATTTTATTGGACCCTCATACATGACTTTAGTACATCCAAAGTATTCTGCAGTTTTGATATCGTATGTAGGTGGGAAGGAATTCTGACTCAGTAACATAACCATGAGCACAATTTTGAAGAGCTTCAGGCCGGCGCCGCAGCTCACTAGGCTAATCCTCTGCCTGCAGCGCCAGCACACCAGGTTCTAGTCCCAGTCGGGGCACCGGATTCTGTCCCGGTTGCTCCTCTTCCAGTCCAGCTCTCTGCTGTGGCCCGGGAGTGCAGTGCAGGATGGCCCAAGTCCTTGGGCCCTGCACCCGCATGGGAGACCAGGAGAGGCACCTGGCTTTGGATCAGCACGGTGCACCAGCCGCAGCGTGCCGGCCGCAGTGGCCGTTGGAGGGTGAACCAACGGAAAAAGGAAGACCTTTCTCCCTGTCTCTCTCACTGTCCACTCTGCCTGTAAAAAAAAAATAAAAACATAAAAAAAAAATAAAGAGCTTCAAAGGGTTAAGAATTAATAGCTGTGTTTGAAGAATTCCAAATTGTGTTCCGTATCATAGTATGTACTACTCAGCTACACAAATCAGCATCCAAGTTTATCTCATTAGTGTCAAAAGGCTTCATAGACCCCACAGTTATGAAAAGAAGCCTTTACTTCTAATACCCTTGCTGCATTGACCTCATCTTAAAAGCCTCCAGAGCACAAATCTCCTTATTAGGAAGATCTTTGGAAAAGATAACACTGAGGAGATGCAGGTTAAAGGAAATATTTTGATTAAAAAGTAAGCAGCTCTGTAGAGATTACAGTATGTGGTATAAAAGCTAAATAAGATTTATGAAAATTATAAACACCACAGAGAAACCAAAGAATAGTCTGATCTCTGAGGCTGTAAAACAAACTTCAAAGAAAATTATCAGGAGCTCTCTTGGAACATTTAAACTTAAATATGGCTGAAGAGGCTTAGAAGAGTCAGATCTAAATACCCCTTCTTTTGAAAGATTAAAGAGTAGAAAACTACATTATTATTATTTAGGTTATCCCTATTTTGTCATTTTGCAGATTGCTTCTTCTTTATTGGAAATTTTCTCCATTATTTCTACACTGTATCTTTCCTTATTATTTTCTTCTTTTTTTGTTTAAAAAGACTTAGTCATTTATTTTAAAAGTCAGAGTTACAGAGATGGAGAGAGAGAGAGTGATCTTCCATCTGCTGGTTCATTCCCCAGATGGTGGCAATGGCCAGGTCAGAGCCAGGCGCCACAAAGCAGGAGCTTCATCTTGGTCTCCCAGTGGGTGGAAGAGGCCCATGCACTTGAGCCATCTGCTGCTGCTCTCTCAGGCCATCAGCAGGAAACTGGATCAGAAGTGAAGCAGCCAGCACGGGAACTGGTACCCATATGGAATACTGGTGTCACAGGTGCGGCTTTACCTGGTGCACTACAACACCAGGCCCAATTATTTTCTTCTAAACAGCAACATTTATGTATTTACCTTTGTATGCCTTGGTTCCATTGCATTATAGTGCCCCATGGTAGAAGTAAAAGAAAAAAGGAAGTAGAATGCTTTCAGGCCTGGGACCCTACCTAGTTCATAGTTCCTTCACTATTACACTCCCTTCTTTGCACATGCCAGCAACATTTTAAACACCACTTGAAACACAAGCCAAAATCCAACTGAATTGGGCCTTTTCACCTCAGGGGTCCTGCAAAGTCTCTCAGCTTACATTCCATGGTCTACCTGAGAGTGATCTGGTAACCTCTTCACCTCCAAATTCAGCAAGTACATTGAATACACAGTGCTTTTTAATGGTCCTTAAAATGACTATGCAATGAAAGGGTTAAGTAGAGTC